TAATAGATACAGAGACTGGCAAACAGAAAGCTACTCGGCCGTGCCAGGCATCACCCACATTAATATTTCGCGGCAGCCTGTCAAATGTGGTCACAGTTCCAGGCAGGGCTTGGCCAAGGTAGTGTGACAGAGGCCACAGAAAGGAGAACCAGACCGGGCCTGTGTTTTCCTTCAGGTGTTCCAGTTGACAGTTCATGTGGCAAGTTTACCTGCATAACAAGGAAGGTGGATGCAGGTATCAAGTCAGAGTGGCAAATCATCCCTCCATTATCCATCTTGGGGGGTCGACACCCTGGTCCCTAACTTTGGCTCTTTGCCTCTTGTTGCAGAGAAGAGGGGAGTGGGAAGACCTCAGCGCCCGGCTCCAGGGCCTGGCACACACAGCTCTGGGTGAATATGAGGTTTTGCAGTCCTGGCAAACTGGAGCTTTAGGGGTGAGCTTGCCCCACTCCACCAAACTAGCCCGCCACACTCTCTGACCCAGAGCGGGTGAGCTTAGCAATAAAGACCCCCCTGCAGTGTCTAGCAAAGCGCTACTGTGCAGAGGGTATTTCTACCCACCCGGTCCCTCAAACCCACTGGTGAAAAAGAAGATTATACAGTTGCCTGAACACACAGAAGCTTGCCCACGTGCTCAGGGAGAAAGATACCCACGCACTGCAAACTTCAGTCTTCCTGGCATTTTTTTTCTTCGGACGTTCTCCAGGCTAAGGCGCATTTCTGGGTAGTCAACAAAAATCGGAGACACCTGGTCTGAGAGAAACAGGAGGCAGAGCTCTTGGAGGCTGTGGGTGAGCCCATGGGAGGAGGACGCCAAGAGGGCCTGGGTGTGTTTGGAAGGACAGACAGCCTGGAGGGGGCCTGGCGCCCTCTCCCCACCCCACCCTCTTCCGATGCCAGAACAACACCTGCTATTTATTTCCACTCTTCCAAAGCTTGGCTGGTTTCTGTGGACTAGTTAATATTTAATGTGTCTTTGGATGGGTGGCCATGACTATATAGGCTGTGCATACTTCTCGCCTCATTCCCTCCTCTTCAGTCCCCCAAAGAGATCAAGGGTTAAAGGATACCAGACTCTCACTTTGAGAGTTTTGCTTATTTCTCGGGCTTCTTATCAGGAAGAAACACCTCCCTGAAATAACCCACAAGTTTCAAGGTTGTAAAGTGGGTGAAAGGAAAGGCAGCTCTTTTCTTTTTCCTTTTCTTTCTTTCTTTCTTTCTTTCTTTCTTTCTTTTCTTTCTTTTCTTTCTTTTCTTTCTTTCTTTTCTTTCTTTTCTTTCTTTTCTTTCTTTTCTTTCTTTTCTTTCTTTTCTTTCTTTTCTTTCTTTTCTTTCTTTTCTTTCTTTTCTTTCTTTCTTTCTTTCACCATTTAGACTCTTTGGGTGAGAAAACTAGGCAAGGAGATGAGGCACCAGCACTTGTGGGCTCACTCAGCTTTGGCTTCAGGTCAGATTCCTCTCTGCCGTGGTCATGGAGCACCTGTCGCTGAATGATCTGCCATGGCAGTTGGTGGCGTTTCTTCACTCTGGAAATACTTGCTGTTGGGGCAATAAACTGGCCTGGAAGTACAAAGCTGAACGAGATCAATTACACGGTTTAAGGGATGAAATAGTAGGAGAAGGGCGATCTTGTGGCTTTGCATATTTAGACAGGGGTGGCCACTGAGCCTTCTTAGGTACGTGGCCCTCTTGCACCTGGACAGTCGCTGAGATGCCGTCTGGGGGGCTGCCCTGTGCATGAGGTTATGGGTCGTTCCCTACCTGCATGACCTGGAGGGTCGATGGGAAGAGCCCCAGCTTCCTCATCTGTAAGATCAGGAAAATGTCACCTCCTGCCTATGTCACCATGGTATTCTGAGGACCTAATCAGCATATGAGAGGGCACTTTGTAAGCCATGGTGTGCTGTGTTCTTGGGAAGCGAGCTAGTCCTCCTGTCTTTGTCTCTTCCAGCTGCTTCAGGACATCCAGGTTCTGAAATGACAGTGTCATGGGCTTCCCTGGGAGGAGGGAGAGGCTAGCAATCCTCCATAAAGTCTAAAGCCTACTTGGAAGCACAAGGGTAGCAGTTGTCTCTGAAAGTAAGAGGCAGCCTCTGCTCACCCATTCATAGAGAATATTATACTAACTAGAGTGAGTCACTTTCAATATTTACTGCCCCCATTTTACAGATAAGAAAACTGGAGCCAAAAACTAGGCCCTCAGATCTATACCGAGTTCTTGACAACCATATGCCTTCGTTTGATACAGTTTTAGACCCCCAGTGCCTACCAGGTGCTCAACTGAGAACATTGTCCAAACTCTGCTGAGCCATATATTCTCTGGGAAATAAAATATCTAAGAAAAAAGCTTACAGTGATAGGTTAGAAACCAAGAAGAAGGCTTCCAAAAGCTCACCCCAGCAAACACTAGCACAGATGACAAGTTCATTCACCCAGCATTTTTTGAATGCCTTCTGTGTGTCTAGGCTTTTGAGAGATGAGCCCTCTTTGCTATAGGGGTGTCCGCCCTACAGAACATTAGGGATGGGCTAGTGCTCTCTGAACACTAGCTGAGATGACTGACCTTCATCCGCATGATTCGGTTCCCCATGTTCCTGTTTCTTTGGGGTTCTGGGCATTGGGGAACTAACCTCATGAAGACACCCTAAGAGCTATCTCACGGGTGTTGGTTTATCACTGGGCTTCTTTGGTGTCTCGACCCCTCAGGTTCCCCTCCTTATCTCCTGAGAGGTTCTGGACCATTATGAACCACGTGTGGCTGGCTCATTAGGGATCTTCCGTTTCCTTTCCCTAGTGTCCTGCCCCTCCCACCTGCCCCACTTGGGGGACTCCTCCCAGGCAGATAGAGGAGCTCTACGAGGCCTGTACTTGCCAGCTCTGCAGAGCTGGAAGGCTGACTCACCCCACCCGGCCCAAACCTGACTCCAGCACTGGAAGCAATTATTGGCAGAGGCCAAAGGGACATCTGCCCTGGCATCTGAACCCCAGGTCCTCGATCTCAAATAGAACGCATCTTTCTAGGACCTTTTACCTAGTGCTTGGAGGGTAGCAAACATGGTGGAACATATAGCGTGGTGGTATAGGGAATCAGATAAATTTTAATTCCAGCACTCCCCAACTCTCTCTTTGACTTTGGAACTGTCTTTTAATCTTAATTCTTTAGAATCTCATTTTAACATAGGGGAGTCACCCCTGGCCGTCTAAATTCTAGTAGAGTATTTTCTATAAGCAGGCATATGAAAATCCTTGGGCATTTCAGAGGGAAGATGGTACTTCCTTGCTTTGCTACTACTCTTGTCACAGCGAACTTGAACCCCTTTTTCCTCTACCCCTCACCCCACAGGGAGTCAGAGTTGGGAGGAAGCTACGCATTACTCTTGTACGACATTACTACAACATTACTCTTGTTTGTTTGACATAGGCTAAGGAACCTCACTGGGAGTATGTGCAACACAGAGACAGTGCACTAGACAGGAAATAGGTGTGTGTCAACACTGCAGGTGCCCTGTTCATGTCTCCCAGACCAGGGAGATAATGATGGCCCTGGTGGTGGTGACGATGATATTAACTGTGATAGCAGCTGACACTTACTAGGCCATGCACTAGGCAGTGTTTTCCATGGAGCATGATATTTTATTTTCTCAACAGCGCTATGAGGTGGGTACAGTTAAGGCCTCTATTCCTTCTCTCAAGTCTATTTATAGTCTCTGATTAAATCAGAACCCTTCTTTTCTGAACTCTTCTCTCTCTCTCTCTCTCGCTCTCTCTCTCTCTCTCTCTCTCTCTCTCTTTTTATTTGAGATAAAGTCTCACTCTGTTACCTTGGCTAGAGTGCCATGGTATCAGCCTAGCTCACAGCAACCTCAAACTCCTGGGCTCAAGCGATCCTCCTGCCTCAGCCTCCCTAGTAGCTGGGACTACAGGCATGCGCCACCATGCCCGGCTTATTTTTTCTCTATATTTTTAGCTGTCCAAGTAATTTCTTTCTATTTTTCAGTAGAGACGGGGTCTTGCTCTTGCTCAGGCTGGTCTCAAACTCCTGAGCTCAAACGATCCACCCGCCTCAGCCTCCCAGAGTGCTAGGATTATAGGTGTGAGCCACCACGCCTGGCCCAGAACCCTTCTTTTCTGAACTCTTTTTTCTCTTGCATCAAGTTAATTTGATCCTAGATAGATCTTGTCCTTTCCTTATTACAAGAACAATAGTAGTTATTCATTTATGCATTAGGTGTTTGAGTATTTACCACCAACTAAACTGTGCTGTTCTCCCATTTAATCCTTACACTAACCCTACTTAATGAGGGAAAAAAACAGACTCAAAGAGCAATTTGCCTCAAGTCATATAACTGTAAATGGCCAAACTGGGGTTTGGACCCAGACTCCAGCACCCAAGCTACGAACCCCTGTAATATTTATTGTTTATAGTAATGAAAATGTAGGTTAAGCTCCCCGGCTAAGAGAAAAATGTAAGAGAAGTAGTAGAAGCGCCTTTCTGACGAGATGCCTCTCCACCGCCTAAGTCCATCCTCCTGCACGCATTGGAGCCAGCTCACGGGTCCTTCCACGCGGGCCGGGGTATCGGGTGATGGCTGGTCACGGCCCCCTTCCAGCTCTCTGCTTGCTTGGTGTCCTTGCCGCCATGCTGCTCCAGGGCCTGGGCAGAGCCTTGCAGGGGCCTCGGCTCACACGTGGCTTTGATTCTTCTCTTTTCAGGCCCGGCTTGGGACATTCTTCGCTTCCCTTCACTTCCCCTCTGGGAGCCCCTCTTGCCACCCCTGCACCTTGCTTCGGGCAATGCCCGAGAGGGAGCTGTGGCCAGCGGGGCCTGGCTCAGAAGCCGTGACCCGCATCGGCAGCTGCGACAGCATGATGAGCACCACCTCCACCCGCTCTGGATCTGTACGTACTCTCCCTGCCGCAGCCCGGCCTGCTGTCCGCACCCCTGCCCCCCCCCTGCCCTGCCCTCCCGCCTTCCCTGCTCGCTGCGACTTCTCTTTCATCTTCCTCGTCAGGGAGTGAATCACAACATCCATGGGCGCTTTCTGCCTCTGAGTCAGCCCTGCCTCTATAGAGAGTGGGGTGTGGCGCTCTTGGAGAGCAATAGGACCCATGAGACATTCCCCCCCACCCCGCCCCGATTTTCATTAGGTTGGGGGTTGAGGTGAAAAGAGAGAGCAGCCCTGTGATCTTAGGTCGTGGTGGAAACTAGAACGTACATTCTTTTACCACGTGCATTCTTGAAGTTCTCTGTGATGAGCAGCACCACTTCAGTCTCTTACAAAGATCAAAGAAAATAGAGTCATTAACAGACTGGGTGCTGGAACCAAACAGATCTGCCTTCTCTACTTATAAGCTGTAAGACCCTGGGCAAATCATTTAATTTCTTTAAACTTTAGTCTTTTCTGTTTTCAAACAGGGATGGTGTTTACATGTGATTTGTAGGGTTCTTGCGGGGAGTGAATGAGATAGAGGAAAAGCAGCTAGCATATGCCTCTCTGTGCAGAAAAGAAACAGACTGTCTAGGAGCAGAGACTGAGAATCTTCCAGAGATACTGTGTTTAACTATCTGTGAGTGGCATGAGTTGAGTGGTAATTTGCCTGGGCATGAAGTTAAATCTCGGTTGTTGTAAGGCTGATGTGAAAGAGTAGATCTGCCCTATATCCAACTATAAGCATTCCTTTGTTGTTCATGCTTGTCACATACATAAGAATCCTGGAGAATTTATACTTTATTGCTTTATCCTATAGAGATATTTGAAAATTTAAGGATTATAAGGCTCTCTACTGAATGTCAAGAACATTTAATATAGCCGGTGGGTTTTGATATGTAAAAAAGAGAGTAGAAAAAACAACACACACACACAAATCCAAAATGCAGATAATCTGTACGTGATTTCTTTTTGACCCTAGATGATGGGGCCTCAGAGACATCTTTCTGTTTCTGTTAGGCTGAAGCCCATATGAATAGTCACACACCACCAGATGCAGAATGCGGCAGGGATTCAAGGTTTGCAAAGTGAATCATTTTCAAAGAAGAAATTCAGAGTTGGCTTATACTTGGCAAGGCTATTTTAGTAGGAAGAGGGCAATAAAGAAGATCGTTCTTCAAGTAACTCTTGGAGTTGGCTTCAGGGCTCCCAAGGGTTATCTTTGGGACTTTCTTTGCCATGGAGACCCCAGTCAGTCACCTGACAAGTGGCTCTTTAGGGGGCAGAGGCAACTGGAAGGGTTATTCAGCAACCCTCTCCCCTCCTTGCAGAATATTTTTAGAGTTGTCTCAAGATCTTTCCTGGCCATCTGAGTAGGCCGGAAGAATACACAGCTCTAAAGTGTCCCAAATATTAACAAGAATGGTGGAGAGATAACAAGAAGAGATTCAGGCCAGAGTACTTACATTCCTATTTTTCCCTTTTGGTTTTCCCTTCAACCTCCTCCTTGGAAGAGCAACTATTCCATCAACCTTCTTGGGTTGGTAGGGCATGGACAGTGACCATCTGAGAAGACTATAGCATTTTCTTCCAAACATCCCTATATGCTCTCTCGTAATGAAAGTGTTCTTTAATATCTACTTAATACATAATACTAAGTGACTTTCCCCTCCCCCCATACCAACCAGTTTCTCTACCCTCCCCCTTTAGGCTAATATTGGCTTAAGAAGTACATACTTATTTGAATGATAGCCAGAGCCAAATGTCATCAAGAAAGTAAATATACAAGGGGAAAAACCCTGTGTGGAATGCTTTTCAAAGTCAAGTGTAAATGATTTAGTGCATTTATCTGTGGCTAGTCATGCCACTGTTCCCACTGGCCTGGCAGCCTGTGGTTGGTGGCATTTCCTGTTTGTCCTCATACTGACGTTGACATTCCAGATCAAGTATGCAGAAGTACTTTGAGAAATTAAAAGCAATACCAATCAAGTCTCAGGTCAAATCATTATGTCGCCCATATAATTGGGAGCTAAAGCAGAGACCCACAAATGAAGTGCTTGACAAAGGTCACACAGAGGAAGTGGAATGAGAACCTGGGACTGCTTCTGATCTGTGTCCCTACGCATACTGCCCAGGACTGAGCAGAAGAAAGGCCCCTGTTTTCTGCCTGGCCAGCAGCGGAGCAGGGTGCTAGTGGGGCAGCCGCCCGGCAGACCTGCCCTCCCTACTGCCCTATGGTTTAGGGAGTTGCTCCAGCAGGTTTGCAGAGCAGCAGCACCAGGGAAGGTTTCCAGCCCTTCAGCATTCCTTCCCCGTGGCAGGGTGGTTCTCAGGCCCCGCCAGTTTCTTTGGAGGGAGCTCCCTCTCGTTCCCTCCCCTTGCTCATGTCCTCTCTCCTCCCCCGCAGAGTGACAGCAGCTACGACTTCCTGTCCGCTGAAGAGAAGGAGTGCCTGCTCTTCCTGGAGGAGACCATTGGCTCACTGGACACGGAGGCCGACAGCGGACTGTCCGCCGACGAGTCTGAGCCAGCCACCACGCCCCGAGGGTCGTGGGCACTGCCCGTGGCCCAGCCTGCTCCCCGGGGTAAGGCAGACTCCCTGGGACAGGACCTCTGGCAAAACCCAGAGAATCAGTGCATCCTTCTGGCCCTCTGCTCCGAAGGTCACAAGCAGAAGAAGGGGCAGCTGCACCCTTCTCTGCTCGCTCTCCTGGCTAGAGTGAAGTCTCGTCCCTGGAGGGGAGGAGGGCCCACGGGCAAGCCTGCATCCTCTGTCAGTCCACGAAGTATCTGAGGCCAGGGAGGGAAAGGGGGTTGACCAGCTCCCACCCTCCTGTTGAAAATGCTGAAGAGCTGTGACCACAGAGGTTAGGGAGGGTGTCAGGGAGGACAGGGTGGGTGGCTCTGCAGTGACTGAGTCAGCCTGGGGAGCTAATCTGAGTGACACAGAGGACAAGGCTGCAGGAGATAAGAAGAGGGACGGGCTCCCCGGCTGCAGTGGGCGCGCCCTGAGGCCCTTGCTGGAGAGCCAGTAGAGTTCAGGCTCCCTGGAAAGGGGCAGGGGACACGAGAGTGGCCTCCAGTGGGGGGGCCATATGTCCCAGGGTGTGAGGAGCATTTTACTCCTGAGGACAGTCCCACTGGTGTCAGGGCTGCAATCTCTTATTCATTCCTTTAGCAAACATTTATTGAGCATGTGCTAACCTCCCCACTGGAGATAGAGCAGTAAATGGAGACATGGCCCTTTGATGCCCTAAAAAGTGACTCACGGGCCCCGTGGGCCTGGGGCACCTGCCTAGCTTGCTGGCAGGAAAGAAGCCATGTCACTCGTGCAGGGACTCTATGGCTATTTCAGAATCGTCCAGGTGCCCATAGAAAGTGAGAGTAGCAGAAGGCTGGTCAAAGCAAGAGCAAATCTCGTGTTCGTATGCTTCCACTGGGCTCAGTTACCTGGGACCCCAAGACAGCGAGAGAGAACTGTCCCGAGTCTACCCCAACTCTGGTGCCTCTGTAGAAGGTCAGGGAGAGCCTGAGTCGAGGACATGAGCACCCAGGGTTCGCTGTCTCGCCATTCATCATGAAAAAGTAACCCTCAGTCAAAAGAATCTGCTATTATCGATCTTCTAGTCTAAATGATATCCAGACAAGAGAGCTGCACTTGGGAAAGCAAAGAAAACGAAACAGAACCCATTCGTTGCTAGTTGGAGGTCAGAGTTCAGGGAGCATTGGCTTTCTCCTCTGCAGCGGGACCCTCACCTCTGTCCCCCCTGCTCTGTTCTCCCCGACCCACACAGGGGATCCAGAAGAGACGGTCGTCCAGCAAGGAGCAGAGCCACGGAGAGTGACTCCGTCCAGCTCATCCCATCCTCCTGAGCCCCAGGGCCTGGGCCTCAGGTCTGGCTCCTACAGCCTCCCCAGGAATATCCACATTGGCAGGAACCAGAGCCTCGGGAGAAGCACCCCCCAGGCCAACAGCCGCGTGGGCGCTGGAGAACCTGAGAGGCCGGCAGCAGAGCCGGAGAAAGCGCCAGCCAGCCAGGGCGGCGAGCCGGGCTGGGCCCCCGCCGGCCCCCGGGGGGCTGCCCTAGATTTGGACCTGGGACTCATCCCCCCGCCAGAGGCTTTCCGGGACACCCAGCCGGAACGGTGCAGGGACGGCAGCCTGCCCAAGGGGCCAGGACAGCAGAGCCGCACGCCTCAGCTGCACGCGCCAGCCAGCCCCCAGAAGAGGGAGCAGATTCCTTCAGAGGCCATGTCCCAAAAATCCAAGGACAAAGACTCGGAGAGGCACCCAGGACACCCAGGGCCGCCTCCCGCCGTGCCGTCTCAGAGTGCAAGAGCGGAGGATGCTCCCCTTCCGTCGGGGGAGGACCCGCATGCCCGACTGCCCCCCCTCACAGCCCCTAAGCCCCGGAAGCTGCCCCCCAATATTGTCCTGAAGAGCAGCCGAAGCAGCTTCCGCAGCGATCCCCAGAACTGGCTGTCCCGCCATGCTGAGGCCGCCCCTGGGGATTCCGGCCCGGTCTCCTCTCTGGTGCAGGAGCAGCGGAAAGCACGCAGAGAGGCGCTGGAGAAGCTGGGGCTGCCCCAGGACCAAGACGAGCCCGGCCTGCACTTAAAGCCCACCAGCTCCGTCAGACTCAAGGAGACTCGTGCGCAGGGCCCTTCCTGGGCTCCGGCTCCGCCTGCAGGTCCTGCTCCGGTCTCAGCCGCTGTCCCTGCTGCAGGGAAGGCTCCTGCTCCAGCTCAGGGACCTTCGCCCATGAAGGCCCCTGCTCCGGCTCCAGCTCAGGGGTCTCCTCCAGGCAAAGTTTCCATTCCTGCCCAGGAAACCCCTCCAGGGAGTGTTGCAGCTGCCAAGTCCATGCCGATCCCCATCCCTAAGGCCCCGAGGGCAAACAGCGCCCTGACCCAGCCAAAGCCAGACTCGGGGCTGACCCTCCCGCAGAGCAACGTCCCCGGCCTGAGACAGGTGAGCTTCAAGTCCAACACGCTGGAGCGCTCGGGCGTGGGGCTGAGCAGCTACCTCTCGGCCGAGAAGGACGGCAGCCCCAAAACCAGCACTTCTCTGGAAAAGGCCTCCTTCTTGGACAAGCTCTCGCCCAGCGTCTTGCGCAGCTCCCGGCCCCGGCCGGCCTCCCTGGGCACGGGGAAAGACTTTGCAGGCATCCAGGTGGGCAGGTTGGCTGACCTGGAGCAGGAGCAGAGCTCCAAGCACCTGTCCTACCAGGGACAGAGCCGTGACAAGCTTCCTCGACCCCTTTGTGTCAGTGTCAAGATCTCCCCAAAGGGCGTCCCTGACGAGCACAGAAGGGAGGCCCTGAAGAAGCTGGGACTGTTGAAGGAGTAGACTCTGGCCACTGGTGCCACCAGCACGGCTAGCACCGCCCGCCACCGCTGCACCAGGAGACAGGGGGTTTGCACTCGGGAGACTTTGCCACCTGACGACTGGACCCAGGGCTTGGGCAGGGGCGGGCTGCTCTCAGGGGCTCCCCGAGGAGAAGGGGAGGGAGAGATTTGAGCCCAAGCATGTTTTTATACTCAGAGTGTTGCGCCACCGTGTGCCTGGACAAGCGTGCGTGTGCACGCACACGTGCGCGTGTGTGTTGTGGGCTGTGTGTATCACTGAAGCTATTTATGTAACACAGGAGTCCTTGCTCGGAGTTCTGCCCTTGCCGGAGATGTTCCCACCGTGAGTAGACTGCAGCCTGGCCAGAGCTGAGTGGGGGCCAAGCCTGAGAAGAAAAGCCAAGCGAGACAGCGGGTATGCAGTGACTTGGAAAAAAGTTCCGCCCGTCAGCTGCAAGGTCACTTGAAATGTGGCCTCCCAGAGCCCTTGCAGTGGCCAGAGACTGGCTCACGCCTTGCTAGGTCCCTTTCTCAGTTCCAGCCTCTGGACAAGGCCAGGGGCCAAGAGGAGTTGGTTGGTTATCTCCTCACCCACTGCCTGCGTGGTGTCACCAGCCCCAAGGGTAGGACACATCCCTGTCACTAAACCTCTCTGTTGACTGATAGCAGAACGGCCCTCGCTGGCCTGAGGAGGCAGGATAAGCGACCACAGGCTGTCGCATACCGGGGAGAGCCCTTGTCTACGAGCTTGATAAATCCAATAAAAACTGTGCTGTGGTCCCTGACGCTGGTGTCCCCCTGCTCTCCAGCTGCCTGTCTCGGTCTGCACGTGTGGTGGACCCTGAGGCTGGGATGGGAGCCCCAGCTCAGGGCCCTCACGAATACCAAAGAACTGTTTCAGACTGTGTCCCTGTGGGGAGTTTTTAAACGTCCCCAGTTCCAGTGGTGGAAAATCAACACAGGACCTTCCCGGCCGGTCCTTCCTGGAATCTCAGAGCTGGGAGGGACCTCAGAGGAGCTCTGGCTCAGCCACGCTGGGGCAGGGAAGCGACTCACCCAGGGTCACTCCACCATGTAGTGACAGAGCTGAGACCAGAAGCCGGAGCTCCTGACCCCCGCTGCGTGCTGCATCCGCGGCCGGCCCTCAGCCAGGCTCTTGGACACCCACACGGCACCCAGGGACCCACCATCACTGCCAGAGACTCCACCCTGGGGCCCCTCAGGATCCTCAAGTGTCCTCTGAAGTGTCGGAGATTAAAAGCTATACAGGATAACGACATCGGGTGCTGTGTTTTTTAAGTTTTAGTTTGGAAAGCAGCTGCATGTAACCCGTGATTAACCGGGCACCACTCCGCCCCAAACGCCCTGACCAAGTTGTGCAACGTGAGCAAATGTCAAAAGAGGGTATTATGGGTTAGGGTGGCGTGGGCTTGCGAAAACAGGCTCGGAGGTTAGACGTGGCTAGACACGGCCCTGCTTTCCCCTTAGGAAATAAATCTTATTCACGGCTGGGACGGGGTGGAGGCCAGGATGCCCAGGGACGGTTGGGCAGGTGTCCTTTAGGTCTGCTGAGCATTTCTGGGCCATGTCCTCATGATAGATGAAACACCGTCAAGACTCAGAATTTCTGGAAATGACACGAGAAGGTAAGGCGAGGACAATGGAAGGCTCCGCCCTGTCACGGTATGTGGGGTGTGGGTGTGGCAGTTTCTGTGTGCATTCGCTCACACGCCCCAAAGCCTGGGGCCTCCTTCCTGGCGCTGAGAGAGGACCTGTGGCCCGGGGCCCGCGGCTGGCCAGGCCCTGCTTATTACAGACGCCCGGAAAGGGGGAAGGCCGCCGTCTGGAGGACCAGTCTGACATGCTGTATTTCCTTGAGTGGCTTCATGTGTGGATTTCAGGGACGTAACCTGAGGAAAGATCGCCCCTATTCTTTGCTCGTCCATTGCCCTGATTAGTAGGGAAACGAGGGAATGGCTACCAGTAAAACTAAACCTTGATGGGAATCCGGGCTCCTGGCATCAACACGAGGCTGAGCGACACGGGTTGGTCGGGAGTACACCCAGCTGTGTCCCCACACCCCGGCAAAGGACATTTCTCCCTGCCCCTCCCCCATCCCCCCTACCCCCGACAAAACAAAGCTACGTGCAGCCTGCACCTGCCCAGCCCACACCCTCATCCTAGCGGCATGCCCGTTTCCCCGGTTTTCCTACTCCGGGAGACTCTCTTCCCTCGCTATTTACAATACTATGCTCTCCCACGTCCTCGTCCTTCAAAGAGCACACTCCAAGGATGGCTCCAAGGATGGTCTTCGGGCTTCAAGAATAGAAGAATAAATGCAAACTCGGACATCCTCATTTTGCAGAGGGGACAGGGGGCCCCGGGAAGACATCCGCCTCCCTGAAAGTGGTGCGAGACCCACCTGCGGCGGTCGTGTCCGCCCTCTCGCGCCCACGAGGGACTAGGCTGTGCACCCAGCCTCGGTGGACTGGGTGGGAGGTGGGGGTGGGCTCAGAGTTGCTCTTCTCCCTTTGCAGAGAAATGTGAGTTGCAGTTTGTATGGGGCATTCGTTTGATTTTAAAAACCAAAGCAAAAAACAAAACCAAACAAACAAAAAAATCTGCACGTAAAGCAGTGCAAAAAATAAGTAAATAAATAAAAACCAAAGCGACAGCTCTACTCCCACATGGCTTGGACCTCTGCCACCCCCTGCCATAGCCTGGCTGCCACTGAGCGTCAACCACCAAACAGAGGAGCGCCCAGCCTGCCACAGCAGGGTCTGTGCCCCCGGAGGTGTTGACAGCTGCTCCTTTGAGTCACCGCTCCTGTGCCACCCAGGGCACAGGCACTCTGACCCCGTGGGGCAGGACTACGTGCCATGTCACACAGAGGGCAGGCCCGCTCTCCCCTCATGTGCCTCCCTCCGCAGTGGCACCTGTGGTGTGGCCGACGACAGGCTGTGGGCTGGGGTGTTGCAGGGTGCACACGCTGCTGCTCATTTCGGAGGAAGGGCAGGAGGAAGACTGGAGAACAGGCTCTCGTCGATGTCCTGGGCTTGAGCCGGAGGTGTGGATTGACGTGTGCGCAGGGTGTGTGCGTGTGTGAGATGGACCCCACCCCCACCCTCTGACCCATGACTGCACGTGTAGACCGAGGAGGACCACACTGTCCGCAGAGGAGGCTGCCATCTCACGGGCTGGAGAAGGGGCCACACGGGATGGGTAGGAGACATCACACCCGTCTCCAGCAGAGCCCAGGGACGAATGCAGACAGAACGTTTCTGCTCTCTTTCCTTCATGTGAGTGTGGAAGGAGCCTTTTTAGATCTGGGCTCGAATTCAACCTTCCTCGCTGACCACGGGAACCTGGGGACGCCACTTCAACTTTCTGCACCTCGGAGTCTCCCTCTATAAAATGGGGAAAATAATGCCGTCCGTTCAAGATCGTTGGGATGAGTAGGTGATATGAAATACGCAAAGCTCCGTTCCTGACCACTGCAGTGCAGCAGCTCAATAAACGACAGTATTCTCTTCTGGTCTTACTTCTTCCTCTTCAAAGAGGGGAATGCAGAGAGAGTTGGGAGCCAGGGGCCCACGCAACTCAGCTCTGAGACAAAATAGAGGGGAGCTTGCCGCATATGAAAGTCCAAAGTCACAACCAAGATTTGGCACACCTTCCGGGTGACTCAACTTCACCCACACCACGTTTCCTGGAATCCGAAGAGAAAGAGATCATCCTAGGTGCGTTTTTGTTTTGTTGAAGGCTGAGCCAGCTGTTTCCAGCGTCTGTGTCCCCAAACCCAGCGTCCCCTTCATCGTCTGTCTCTTGCTGCCTGTGACCACATAGTTTGCTTCCTTTTGCTTCCTCTAACTTCTTTTTGCTGTGTGGGTCAGAAGGCTCTATGCTGTTCTACAGCTACGTACTTTTAAAGTGGAGGGAAAAAAACAAACGTACACCAGGAGGGAACTCTGGCTAAAACCAGATAGTGATAGAAGCATTTAAAAAAAAAAATAGGGTAGGTGTCATTTTGGAATGAATCAGGCACTGCTATCAGGAGGCAAGGAGCATATTGGGCAAGCTCTGCAAATCCCTGCTGACACAAGGCCCGGTGAGTCGCAGAAGTCCTCTCCACCGTCATGGTCACGGTTGACCCTTGGCACACAGGTGATGCAAAAACAGGTGACATTGTCATTCCAGGCTGTCATTCTCTCTTGCTCATTGAGTAGCTGGGTGATTGTCCTTATTCGCCACCTGTCACGTGTCCAGAGTTCAAAATAATACGAAACAGGATGGTACTCTAGCAAAGCTCAGACCAGGTGGGCTTCAATAGGTCACTTCGTCTCACTCATAAAATGGGAGACTTGGACTACATTGTCCTGTAGGTCCATGCCAGCCCAGCAACGTATGCCTCAGTAAGTCCAGACAAGTTATTTACGAAGATCTACACCCTAATCACAATATCGTCTGTCGTCTGACAGAGGCCCGCCTGGGAGAAGGTGTGGGGATGAGTATTCTACCAGCTAATCCACAATGTCCCCTACAGTCCAAGTGAGCGTTTAAATAAATCAGTGAAGACAGCAGGGAGGGGAGTACAGTTCTAAATGTGTTCACAAAGGTAATCGGCAGCTCAATGACTGACCAAATACAAAGAGAAGAAAGAGGAGTTCAAAACAACACGCACATTGCTGGCCTGGACACGCAGACAGAATTCACGGAGTTTCTACCGGAGCAGGACCAGGAGGAAGGGGGTTGGGGGCAGACTGAGTTTGAGGTTGCAGTGGGACTCCTCAGTTGGCATGGCCCCCAGCTCAGGAGGGGGACATGGTCATGGGAGCCACCAAATGTGGGAATGTAGGTGACAGTTGACCATGAGCCTGGATGAGGTGGTCAAGGGAGGACGGGTAGAACAAGAGCAAAGGTCCTGGTGGGTCTCTGGGGCACACCGGCGACGGAAGGGAGGGGATGACAAGGAAGTCCATGGAGGAAGCTGCGGCTCCAGGTTCTACTTGGCCACTGCTATGTCTGGCGTCTCTCACATTCAAAGTCAACAACGAGCAAACCAAACAAAAAAATTAAAAACCTTCCTCAACCCCACATCTTCTACACCAGGCTTGTCCAATAGCACTTTCCGCAATGACAGAAGTGTGCTCCATCTGCTCTGCCCAGCTGAGTAGCCACGAGCCACAAGTTGTGGCCATTGAGCACTTTGAGGAACTGAATTTGTAATTTTGTTTCATTTTAATTAACTTAAATATACATTTTTAATTTGGCTAGGGGCTGTGGTATTGGACAACACCGCTCTAGAGCTCCGGCCATCTCTCTGCTCCCGCTCTGGGAATGTTCCTTGAAATAGTCACAACCTCTCCTTCCTCACCCCAACCTTACTCCTCCCCGCCTGCAAACAAGCGTCTGTCCTTTCCACGTCCCCAGACGGAGCCTTTCGAAGACACCAGCAATGCCCATGTCGGCAGATCCAATTGTCCTCTTTGCTCTGATTTATCACAGTTGACGACACCCTTCTTTTTGAATCACTGTCTTCTCTTGGCTCCTGGCTGCTGTGTGTGCCTCATTGGTACCCATGGCCAGCTGGCTGTCCTGTGCCCCAGAGCTCTGTCCTGTGCCCCCTTCTCAGATCCGTCTGCATGTTCTCCTTTACACATGGTGTTTGTCCCAGCTCTGGACATCTGCCTTGGCTACTCCTTCTGCTGGAATTCCCTTCCCTGCATCTTTTTTATTTTTATTTTTATTTTTTGAGACAGAGTCTCGCTTTGTTGCCCAGGCTAGAGTGAGTGCCGTGGCGTCAGCCTAGCTCACAGCGACCTCAAACTCCTGGGCTCAAGCAATCCTCCTGCCTCAGCCTCCTGAGTACCTGGGACTACAGGCATTTAGTAACCATG